TCTACCCCTTCAAGTACATGGCTTGGATAACTAAGAAGGTCGCAGTTGGAATGATTTTTTACGTCTGGTCTCATGCCTTTCTCATGGCATGTCTTCCCTTAACAAGTTGGTCAAAATACACGTTTATTCGCTCAGAATCAATTTGCACTGTACAATGGGAATATAGCATCACTTATACGCTATTTCTGTTTTCTGTGTGCTTTTTTGTTCCTCTTGGTGTGATGATGTATACTTACTTGCGAATCTTTCGTACAGCTAAGAAACAATCCAAGAAAATTGTACCTGTTACAGGAAAAATTGAAGGAAAAGATGAACCTAGCACAAGCGAGTTTATCTCGTGCTATGACAGTCGAACAAACTTAGAGAACGCGGGGCTACCCGCTCGCACTTCTCTCTCGACCAAGGAGATGATAGGAAATAGCTCCGTTTCTATTACTAGCAACAACTATAATGATCGACCTTTCTCGGATCGTCAAGCTTTCGCCTTTCACGGAGAGCAACGAGAATTAGGGCAAGACCATAAAAATCTATACGCAGATGATCATCAGGTTTCTAAAGACTCTGGCTTGGAAGAAGTTAATTTTAACGGATCCAATTTGTTAAGACCCGATGAATCATCGGCTATAACAGCACGCAATAGAACGTCCAGCATAGGTGAAAGCGTGGACGGAGTTAGTGCTCTTAATAGTAGCTGTGGAAGTTTTCAAGATTCAGTTTTTGAGGATAACGGATCGCCAAAAAGTACCAACAAAGGAAGTGTACAAATCGAGTCTACACAAAATGACATATCGTACGTGAATGCTCCATTTCCTAACACAAACAAAGTTCATGCGTACAGGAAGACCGGTGGTGTATGTTTACCGCCTTTACCAACTGCAACGAGGAACAAGGAAGCAAACATTAATACTCCGCGTTTTTACGTTCCCCTTCCACCTGTAAAATCTGAAACTATAAACAATAACATCTCTAGTACAAATGATACAGTGTGCCACATTGATAATGACTCAGAGTGTATTGATGGAAATTCGCCAACTGCTGACAACCAGGAAAACTCTCAAAACATGGTTAACCAATCAAATACTCTATTAGTTTCGAAGAATCAATTTCCTCATGGGGAAGGAGTGAAAGACGACAATGTCAGTGACACCAGGAACCTGAATATAGTTGTTTCGCGATGTTCTTCTTATTCGTCTTTCTCTCCTTCGACGAACGAGACACTGCAGCCTAACCGCCCTAGATCACAAACGGACAGGACTGGATCTGCCAGGAAAAAGAAGTTTTCGACTGCTTCAGTTGCAAGTCTCATGAATTTTTCGGGACCTAACTCGTTCAGAGCATTCAGTAAATCTTCTCTGGCATTGATGAAACTGCGCAAAAAGAAAGACGTTCAAGCACGCGCCAAAATGCGCCGTGAAACCAAAGCCGCCAAAACCTTACTGATAGTAGTGGGCACATTTGTCCTGTGTTGGGCTCCCCACTTCATAGGAATATTCTGCTTTTTAGCCAAACAGTGCTCGTGGCCTAATGAATTTTTTGCCATTACTACCTGGTTTGCTATGTTGAATTCTGCCTGTAATCCTGTTATATACGGGGTTATGAGTATGCACTTTAGGAAACGATTTAAACAGATTCTACAGTGCAAAAGAGGCTTCTTCTAGATTTACCTTCCTGAGTACTTATCCAGGCCTGGGTTGATCAAAAGAGGTTTAATTTAAAACCTGATAAGCGAATTTTTAAGCAACATTCTTCGCCCTGAGCATGGAAATTGGAGGATAAGTGTTGGTAAAATGAACAGCCAAGAATCGAAGTCTATAAGAGAATTAAAACCCAAATAAACAATAGTAGGTTCATATTATTTTAACCTCTTTGGTTAGCGCTTATCAATCCTCGAGCTACTGGCCAAAGAGCATATTTACGTTATTTGTCGAATTAGGTTGAAAAGGAATTTTAAATACGAATGAATTACGAAATTATGGAATTGAAATAAAAACAATTATGGCTGTTTATCTTTGTTTATTTTGTTCTCTTAACAAAGTTTACGAACAAATGAGTAATGAGATACAAAAGAGATCTTATGTCATACCATTGTCAGTGGTATTATTTTTCAGTCTCGGCCTTGTTGATTTCCTTTAAGTAACTCGTTCTTTTGTTCGTACAACATGGTATTTGGTGATTGTTTGTTGTCGGCATCCTTATTAAGTCAAGTAAGAATATATCAACTTCCCGCAGAGAATCAAATTAATTTTATTGTTTAATTTTCCACATTGCTCAAACAAGGATTCCGTGTCTTTAACGTTGCAGTCGTGAACTGACGGTAAAGAACCAAAAAGCCTAATAACTTTTGTCGCTTATTTGCCGTTTCCCTTGCTGTTGTCGTGGAGGGTTCTTATGCCCTCCAATTAACTATTATTTGTTATCTCTCAGCTGTGTGTGATATCAGTAGCAAGTCGTTTGCCGATTACAGCAAAAGTCTCATCACTAAGTACCATTTGGGTGATGATTGAATTGGATCCTCATTTGTATCATTTTCAAAGAGAGATGTGCCAGGGGAACTCCGGAATTCAAGTGACCGAGGGATGATCAAAGAATTTTTGTGGGTTTGAAATTTTCGATTTTGGGTAGGAAAATTTTGGCAAGTATTTTTGGGGGTAGCTTGATTTAAGTACGGTTTTAATTGGGTACTCAAAACTAATGTTTCTATTTTTTTTTGTGTTATATCATTAATGCTTTCTGGAAATTTTTTATGGCTCGGAGAATTCGGCAAAGGACTTTTTTGGTGTTAAATTTTGTTCCAGGGATTTTTGGGGGCTTTGATTTTTGCCCTCATTCGATCATCCATGTAACTTGTCATCTCGAGTACCCCCCACCCCCTGGAGAGATGAGAATTGAAGTCGTTTAGGCAATTGGGGTTAACCCTTAACTTGTTCAAGTATAGATCATGTATGGATAGACAGACCGAAAGACCAACAAATAGATAGACGGATAAACGAATCAGTTGGTAGTTTGAAGTCAGTATTGCCGGCTTATGTGTAGTAGTCAGACCCGTTAAGTGCATGGAGGCAACAATTCATGAAGCTTAGCTTTTGGTCCCTACAATTTGCTTCGATAGAATTTTATACAGTCTTAGTATGATAAGATAACGCAGGCTGTATTCATCCCAAGTGCGCTTCGGCAATCGTTCCCATCGTTAAAACAGGTTAAGTACGACAAAACATTAAGCGCAGGTCGCGTGTAAAAGCAGCCCGTAATTTGGCTGGACTTTTGCGTGCCTTGACTGTTTTAAGAAGTTCAGGCACATCGCAAGCAGTTTTTTCACATGCACGTTTCAGTCAAAATTCAGGAGGTTGTTCAGAGCTTTGCGGACAAGACAATGTCGATTCACTTATCGCTGATAGCTAGTGCGGATATAGTATCTATAGTACTACCTGATTTCAGCTCTTTACATTTTACTAAACACTCTTTGAGCTGAAACCATCAGCTTCAGACTGCCGTAGAAAGCTCATATACGCGCTGTACAGTTCTGCACAGAGTTATCGTCATTCTTTGGTACCGACTTCGTGAGAGTGGTTTACCTATTTCCAGAGGTTTTGTTTTCTACTTTAAAAAGACTATTTATCATCATGATAAGACATAGACAGGGTTCCAGTGCGTTCCCTTGTGGGAATCCTACGGGAACAGCCTTTCACTTGGAAGCACAATCACAGCTTCAGAGCTAGCTTAACTGAACCTTTTCCTCGCGATTTATGAAAAATTCACATCTACTCCGCTGAATAAACGGCCTTGGGGTGTTATGCCAAAAACGGCAACTCTCGCAGTCAATCATTTTTCATCCGTTTACGTTGAGTTATCTGTAGCAGAGGCAGGATGACACTCGATAGATGTTAATTGTTACCCGGTTATATCAGTATAGATCAGGTCAGAGGCGGGTTAATCGAAAGCGGACATACTTCACATTGGGCCAAAACATCTAAAATTTTCGCTCCATTCCATTCATTAATAAGCCAAAAATGGAAAGAGTGTCTTCAGTTTATTTCTGCTATTGTATTTTACGATTATTAGGCCTGTGTTTCTCAATGACAATACGATATGGACCTCTATATCCTATTTTAGTAAGGAAACTTTGCCTCGGAAGGCCAGAGTAGAAATGAATGCGTAAAGAGTGCGAAAGTTCCGGGCTTGCAGGTAATGACCACATCTAAGCTTCGATAGTTAGAGTGCTATGGGCGAAGTGTCAAGTGCGATTTTCCACATCCACATCGTTGTAGTTTCGTTTCAGTTACAAAGCTACGCAGGCCAGATATATAAAAACAACATGGAAATTAACGTATGATTACCATTTGATCAATGTTGATCCTTTTTAGTGACAGTAACTGCCATTGACTCGATAAGCACCACTTGCAATTGCGTCAAACAATCAGTGACGTCACTGTCATACCTTAACCTCGCTTCCTCTTTGTTTATTTCAATAAATTCTATAATACCAACACCACCGCTTGTTTGCAGTACTCAATAATAAAAGTTCAGGTCGACAATACCAATAATGCTAAGCTTAGCGGCCCGTTTTATTGAAGTTCCAGCTCGTAATTATCGCCTACAACAGATAAATAATTACTTTGCCTAAAAAGACAAAGGATTTCTTTTCAAGATAAAACGTTCCGCCTATTTTGTATACAATTAACTTAATAATGGTCGCCCAAGTGTAATTACTATTTAAAGTTAAGTAATATCTCTTTTCACCGCAGATTACCCTGCTTGCATTGTTTGTCTGTTTTTCAGACGTGATTTGCAGTGGATGTTGACTATCCCTGTTTCAACAGCCAATAACATTACGAAAACGAATTTTGTCTTAAAGCCGATTACGCCGTTACGTGGCTTAGCGTCAACATAATCTTCTAGGCTTTTATTACTTCCACGAAATAGTTTTTCACTCGGGTTCTTAACTTCACTCAGTCTCAGGGATCAGGAATATATATATCTTAACCATTTTTTGTTTGTCTCCATAAAGATGAAGGGGCATTGTAAACAGGGCATTGTAAACATTCGGTAAGTTGACGCGAAAACGTTCGATACAAAAGCTGTTGGCAAGTCCTGTCTCCTGGTAGTCAAGCCTATACAAGAAAAGGAATTGTGGAACGCGACACAGGTAGGAATCCCCTAGTAATCCGTCTATACGTCTAAACAACACTGGAATGCACTGCGACGTTTATAAAGTTGGGCAATTGATCTGAATATTTTTTCTGCACGCCAAGGTCGGAATCGTACGAATCAATTATTGAAGGGTGAAAGCATTGTGAGAGGGCATCTGCTTTACATCATCAATCTTCTATTCTGTGTCAATACCATTCAGCACTGAATGTGGTGCGGTGGGGAACTGGATAAAGACAACCCGCAGCTTCTCACACTGGTTCATGGCGTAGACCGAAAGGGGAGACCTGTTATTAGGGCCTACAGGGGCAATGCTCGCCATCCAGTCTACCAAGAGTATCAAGAAGTTATCAACAAAAATTATGAAAAAGCTGCAAGACTCTCTCAGTTTCCCAGGGGCTGTGAATCACCGTTGTACCGTGTAAATAACAGTTCTTCCGATTTATGTTACTCCGAAACTACCAGTGCTAGAACTTCAACGCTAAGAACTCGTGCCATGTCGCACTGGACTCCGTCTTTCTCTGGAGTTAGATCAGCAACGATTGTCCCAGAGGTAAAAGGTATGCAGGCTATTATATCAAGGCTGCGCTCTTCTTTAGCGATACACGCAGGCCTGGGACCTACGAACAGTGAGGTTAACTTTCTTCCTGTTATTCCTGTCCGCGAACGAAAACCACCGTCTAGCAACTGCCTGAAGAATGAACGTCCAACAGGAAACACTGTTCCGAAGAAAATGGAGTGTGACTCCATTAAGTGCAATAATGTAGCTGAAGAAAAAACTTTATCTTCTTATACAGAAAGTTGCGGAGGAGGCAAGGGAACTTTTCATCAAACAAGGAAAGTAAAGAAGCGAAAGAAAAAGAAGACTCTGAAGTCGAAAAAATTAAAGTCAAAAATTAAACCAATCTCGGCAGACATGGTCCCGCTTAACTCGATAAATTCGAGATATTTGTTGTCATAAGTACTAGTCGCCACACGGAGTCATGATTAAAATAACAGCAATTATAATAATACAATTGGACTGACAAAAACTCAAACGACTTTTTCTTAGTAGTCAGTTTTAACACGGATAACCTGACGTGTAAAACATATTCTTCCAAAGTTGGGAATTCGTTGATTTTTTGTTATAAAGCATGCAAGGAACTTCTACTTTTTTTTAGTCACTTGAGTACTTTCTTAATGTATGGTATGCTGTCTTAAGCAAGCTTGGTTGTTATTTTAATGGATTTATTGTTTCCCCTATATGACATTCTAACCCTTGCCGATTCCATGCCATTATATTGTGGTGCTTAATATAAGCTCGTCTACAATTCGTATGTAGTGTACATTCTACCCTAAATGATTGTTTTCTAAACCAGAATGCTTTAGCTGGATGCCAATTTACGAAAAAAAAAGAAAAGAAAAAAAAAACAGATGAACTTTAACAAGGCTGTTCCGTTTTATCTTGTCTCGATAGACGTTTATCAAATCAGCATCATGAACACCATGCAGTTTGTTGTGTTTTTTATACGCTCAGTCTAGCTCTTCAGATTATAACTTCATAGATTCAGAAAGCAATCATGCAGTAGTTTCCTTTCATTTTACTATCTATTGTGCTTTATATATGCTTTATAGGGTGTCTCAGCAACTATTTTCAATTTCCATGTTTGTCTACGAAGACTATAAAGTCTCTATGTGGTAAAACTTCAAATAACCTTTCGTAGCTAAATAAAAAAAATAACAGTAATTCCCTGTAAGACTGTTTATCAAACCTAACGTTTGAGTCTGTGGATGTCCTAAAGGTGATCATTGAATTGAAAGCTAAATGAGAAGTTACCTTTCCTATATGATAAAGTTTTTTTTATTACTATTATTTTGCCGTGAAACGTGATTCTCTTCTCAGAGTCTAAGGATGAAATCGTGCAATGTAAACATCCACATGAATGCTAATAAACAGTACTTTCCTAAAGTAAACTTAGTACAACTTCTAATTATTCCAATAACCATAAGGATAAGAACAAAATTTTAATTTCAAGACAAAATGGTTATACAAAGGTAATTTATCAAACCTTTTACGGGTTAAGAGAAACTCATTAGGTCGGTCAGCTCCCAATGTATCGGGTCTTCATAGCTCATTTATAATTAGTAGAGCAATGCAGCGCCAGGGCAGAGACGAAATGGGTTCAAATTCCGTAGAAGGCCCTTTTTTCTTCTTCTTTTTTTTATTTTTTTCTGGATAGTTTCCAGTTGGTTAAATTGTTATTACTACTGCGACGATCATATCTTTATTTAAATTAAGTACATTTAGACAAAGTGGTTGGCAGGGTGTGGCTCTGAATTGTGATTCGTGGTTGAAATTCTGAGTAAACACTCGAATAAAATTCTCTCGGGCTTCACAAGGTACTTCTAACTTCAAAAATTTTGTTATTTTATGGCGTTAGTCATTGCTTACAGTATTGCGTTGCACATATTCATAACAAGACAAGAGCGAAACTGAAAAAAAGGAACAATAAAAAAAAAATATAATGATTCCCTCAAGTTTGATCACAAGCGAGTGTCAAATACTTGCTTTGAATGGGAGGTTCGGGTACAACAGCCTGACAAATGCTTCTTGCATTGCAGATTTTTTAGGGAAGATATATGACTCTCAACAAAACCGAAAGCTTTCCGAAAAATGGTGGTGTATGCGTCACTAAAATTTCTCATCCTTGACCCATAAATAAGAAAGTTCATGGCGGAATTTGAAAGAGCGACACTCCTCACCCACATATGCACAGTACCATACAACTTGACGAGTAATTTACCGGCTGCAGCAAAGATAGCAAACAGTGGAAACCAGCAAGCTGTAAAGGCGATGATGACAATCGCGAGGGTGAAGGTCACGCGCAGTTCCATGCGGCGAGGGGTTGGGTTATTAGAGGATCCATTTCTGAGTTGGTTTCTCAGTTTTCGTTGTCTAACTAGAGATATCACAATCGCAGTGTATGATATGAGTACAATGGCATAGCATAGTGTGAATGCTACTAAATTGATTCGTAATCTAACTGTGACTGACACATCTGGTATTCCTCGGACCAAACCAAAAATCGCAGCGACTGAAGTCCAGCTGATGATCAAAAGAGCCTTCAATCCGAAGGTCTCCATAATACTTTTGTGGCGTAGGGGATAGATAACAGCGAGAAGGCGCTCAATACTGATTGCGGCCATATGAGAGGCGGACACAGAAGCCGAGAGATTGGAAAGTAAAGCGAAGACAAACTCTACTTTCCACGCGCAGCTGTTATAAATGGTCCTATCGACGAGGATCACCAGGAAGAGAGGTTCGCATACCATGGTGACGATTAAATCAGCTATAGCTAGGCTGACAAGGAGGAAGTTGGAGCTACGTCGAAGACAAGGATTTGAAGCAACAGCTACACAAACCAGCAAATTGCCAAGAGTTCCAAACAAACCCACCGTAGCATTCACTGCGATGAGACTAACACCATGAGCAAAAGGAAGCGAACAATCATTTTCCGAGAGGTTGGCACTGAGATAACTTTTGTTTACCAAATAGTCGTTCATCTCTGTGCTTGCTTCAGGGTCTAATATGATATATAATACGATATGATACACAACAAGATAATCAGTACGGCTTTTCTGTCCTTTGTTCAGTTAACGGAAGAAGTTGAGGTACCTCGATTTCAACAGAATCAAACGAAGTTGATATAACGGGCGCAGAAAAGTTATGGAGCAAATTAAAAACTTTAACTTAAATTTCGTTTTTATATACAAGCTTGTGACCTTGAGATGAAAAGGATATTAAGTTCTAAACAACTGTTTTCGTCAACCAATACAAAGTTTTGAGGCAAAACCAGGAACGTGCATGCTTCAACTTGAGTACTGTGAGTGTCGTGACTGACCTAAAGCAGTGCAATTGTTCAGTGAAAGGGATGCAAGTCTTCGTTTATCAACCGTTAATCTTTCACCGGCCGTATTTCTTGAACCTGAACTGAAATTTTTAAACTTTTTTCTTTAGCGGTTGCCAATGTTAAAACGCCACAACTGAGAGGATCAGTCCTTAGTTACGTAATGCTGCCTACAGGATGAAAGCACTACCCCGGCCCAAAAAGCTAAAAATAGTCTCCACTGCGTCTTTTCGCTAGAAATACACGTAGAAATTTGAATATGAAGAGCTAATATAATATAAAGTGAGAGGGAGATGAATGCATGATTTTCTATTTTAATTTGTAAGTCGCATATATCGTCTATTTATAGAATGTTTGAATATGTTTACCAGCTCGATTCCATGGAATCATGAAACAAAGAGGCATTTGGTCACGCAATTGTTTCAAAGACCCGTTCTTTCTGTGCTTTGACTCTTGACTGCAGCAGTTCGTACTCAAAACTTAGGTGGTTCAAGCAGTTCCCTCCGCTGGATAAATTACTTCCCAGTCGAATTGACGATATCCACATTTAAAAAAAAAAAAAGGAGTCGGAGGTATTGTTTTGGCTGAATAGAGCCCTTCAAGTTCTCCTCTAAATTGGCGATATCATATAGAGTTCGTGTATATAGCAACGATTTTAATGAGCTGGCCTTCGTTCTTCGCTTTGCCCTAAGTACAGCTGCGACATTGCCACACCATCAGCTTTTGCGATCTGTACCTTAAAACGTTCCCTATCCCATCCTTAAAAAAAGGACATCAACCGTTGTTGTCGTTGCTGTTTTTTTGTTGTTGTTGTTGTTGTTGTTTTGTTTTGTTTCTGATCTTGGGAGGCTATAACGCGAGAGTTAATATCGCTGTCTTAGTGAGATGTAGCAGCTTTGCCGTACGTCATCAGCCTCGTACACCTGCAGTGGCTTAATGACGTGCCGCAGCTCATGACGTGGCATGACGTCATAGTACCGTTATCAGTTTTGAAATATGCTACACGCATACAACGATGTCTATTAGAGCTATCTATGCAAAGAAGTGAAGAAGACCTGCATTGACTCCTGAAATTTAAAGGGCAAGAAGACAATGAATTTTAATTCGATTGTCGGATAGTCAGCAACTACTGAAGAGAGATAAGAGTCAAAGTAGAAAATGAGCAGATGAAAACAGTTTAAAACAATCGTATGGATGAAAACAGGGAGGGCTGGCAACAGCCTTTGATCTTGCCGCTTTCGGCTTTCCATGATCGCCCGAGTTAAGAAATCTGTCAACCATTCGAGAACTGTAGCGAGCATGCGCGGAACAGGCTGGGAACAACAACAAGAATTTGGTCTTCGCAGCGATTCAAGAGTGTGAAGTGAATTCGCTTTTGGTGCCGTTGGTCATTGCTTTCTTTGCTATAACCAATTTTTTTTTTCCGCGGTAATGTAGAGCTTACGTTTTCCTTTCTTCTGGTCTTGCATTTGTCATTACATGCGGTTTGCTACGCTAAGAACGAGATCAGTGAACATTGATCGTAAACAGTCGTTGTTCCGATGCCCTCACTTCATCTCTCTAGATGCAGTCTCTCAAGCTATGTTTCTGTTTAGAAGACCTACAAGACTAAAAGAATGGCCAACCCTCTAATACGTATGTAAAAGGGTTTATATTCTCAAGTGAAAGGCCCAAAACTAATTCTCCGTGATATTAAAAAAAGGGGGGTGGCTGTGGTCGAGCAGAAGAGTTGTCAGAGTTGTTTACGGTTTTTCTACTTAACACCTTTAATACGACAGGAAATGATGATTGAGATTCTTAATTCTTCATTCTTAATTGTGAACTTATCCTGGCAGAGTTGCGTTGGATGATTGAGTGGCATGGTCAAATCTCGTAGTTCATGGATCTCTTCATGTACTAGAAGCTAAACAAATTTTGCTCTTTATTTTACAAATGTTGATATGCTTAAGTTCTTATCTTCGTGTGATTTAATTTAAACTTCACCTTAGTTTCTAACAGCAAATCTTAGGCAAATGAAAGCCCCCCCTGAAATGACCTGCGCTTTTCTAATACAACTGGTATTCTGCAAAAAAAAAAATACGTGGTTTACCGGTGTTGAAGTAGAGCAAGAGACGAGTGCACCTCCTCCTAAAAAAAACCCTGGATCCGCCCCTGCAGCAGTTATTGCACTGCCTTCTGTTTGAGTCCTCATTCAAGTGTGTTGCAGACAACGAGGGAAAAATAATAAATTCCAAAATTTACACTACCCCTTGGATGAAAATAACGTGAAACTACTTTTTTTGTAGGAGTAAAGAACAGCTAAAGACAAGTAAAGGGAAAACTTGGTCAGGATTTCTTGAAAACTGTTGCCAAATCCTGTGACATTATGAAGACCCTCTATGAAACTGTAAAATAAATCATCTAAGAGCGCATCTACCAGAATTTCACACTTTCTCGTGGATTCCTAAGAGTTCTCGAGAGTAATGTGAATCAAGAGCCATATTGGCTCTTGCGTGAATACAAATTGAATAAAGCAATTTTTAAAAAAGACAATCTGAAGACGTTCGCGCATGAATCAAACATCCAATTTCTGAAATCGTTACGCCCTTCACTTTGCAGTTTGTCTTTCGTTGATATATTAATTAAACCCAAGTTAATGTTTAAACCCTTGTCGTGTCCGACTCAGTACCTTGTTAAGTCAATCTATATCGACCTTTACGTATATTTTAAATTAAATCATTGTGAAAAATAAGTTGCTACAATCATATAATCAGTGTGGACCTGATATTTCTCTGAATTAAATTTCAAACAAACAGTTATTTCTCCAAAATGCAGGCATATACCCTATCGATCAGTTCACAACGTGGAAGTGTGAATAATGAAAGATCGATCAGTCATCATCGACCTGTATCGGTTGAAAGCGCATAAGTGGAGTTGCAGCTGTTAGCATTAATTACATTTTGAACGAAAAACAAATTCTGAAATTATATAATTTACACCCTTTATTATCAACTTTTAACACAAATCCGTAGTTAACCTTGTAGAAGTCCGCTAATCGGATACTATGAACAGGGAGCTATCTAAAATAAGCCTTGAGCTGAATAATAAATAGAAGTTGCAACTGCAAGCTAACTCACCTCTTTTTTTTTGTTGCATGAAAACCAGGGCTAAAACTGAAATTCTGCCGTATACCGTCATCTTCCTTTCATAAGTTTTCCAACAAAAGTGTCGCAAAGTATTATATAATTCGCTATTTTAACATAGTCTTTAAACACACACGACCATCGCGATCGAAAGGTATTTAGCGCCGCGGGATCACGTGGCGAAACCATGGAAAAGCGTCTCATTCTTGTTTTTTAAAACTGATTTTTGGCGGCCGTAAACAGAGTGTACTGCAGGAGATGGTCTTGAATGAGTTAAGTTTTACTCTTTATGACGCCTTAAACCCCTATATGTTAACTCTGCGGACACCTATACTTTGTTTTCATCTCGAAACAAAATGTTTATCAGGTATATGCATCGCCAGCGACTGAGGTTTTAGAGGAACGGATCCATGCAAATCGAGGTCAGGCATCCACTATCAAATGTGTGCTTTGCGACTACAAAATGTACGTACAACGATGATTTTCTTTCTTTGAGTATAATCTGCTGCTGAAATGTTTAATCGTTCGCCCTATAATGGGAACAAAATACGAATAGTAATGGCATAATGTGATAATTTACTTCACTGGTCTGAGATTGGTCTCGCACCAGGCGAATGTGCAACGCTGCGAGTCACATGCGAGTCACGTTGTATTTTTTTTCGTCCTCTGTTGTAGTGTTACTATCTGTATATAATTAAGCTTAGAAATAGCAGAAGTTCAGTTCAAGCCTTGCAAGATTCAATGTGCTGGTTTTTGTTTTTAATGAATTTCTGAAAAATCACGGAAATTCCTAGCCTGCGCGCAGACGAAATTAAACTCTGGTTAACTAATCAGAGTTTAATTATCGTCTGCACGCAGGCTAGGGAATTCCTGAGAATGGAAATTGTCAAATGTTCCTATTTTTGGAGATTGCCGAGCTCTCCCAGGATAAACGAAGACGACGATCGTTGATCTTCGTGATAACGCATAACGGGATCAAAAAACTCAATTGGCAGGAGGCAACTAGTTTCCTATTTGGAACTTGGTATGACCAAGGATTTAAACTGGGGACGACCGAGAACAAATCCAGCAAGTGGCAAGAGCGAGACTCCAGGCCCGGGCCCACTGGATTGCCAGTCCAACGAGCTGACCATTTGGTCATTCTGCCTCCTATGTTCAAGCTATACCTGTCTAAATACCTAACTTTATGTGAAAGATAGAGACGTCAGGTAAAATGATGTATAAATCCGCAATTTAAAAGCGGCCATCTTTATTTGTCAGCCTAGCCGGGGCTGCTCAGCTAAAATGTTGTATGCAACCGTCCTATATTCCCCTCTAGATCAGAAAGGAATCCCTTGTGCATAGTTAACTAACATAGGAAATGGTACCTGTTTCATCATGTAGCGTAAAGAGAGTTTTGGTTAATAACTGAGCGACTTTAGCCAGGACCCCATAGCCCAGTTATAGGCTCCTACTTTAACTCAATGTCATCTGCAAACTACCAGTCTATAAGGGATTCTCTTTGAGACACTTAGAAGACCTACCGTAAAATTCCGAAAATAAGCCCCTCCATGTATAAGCCCCTCAAATTCGTAACGCAAAAAACCCTCCGTTAAATCGCCCCTCCAAATGTAAGCCCCCGGGGGCTTGTACTTGGAAATTGCCCTCAAATACCAAGTCAAACAAAGCAAAAACGGTAAATCTCCTTCCAACTATAAGGTTAGCCCAATCGATTTTGAAACGCAAAATTCCCTCCGTACATAAACCCCTCCGAATATAAGCCCTTCCAAAAATAAGCCCCCCAAAAAGGGCCGTTGAAAAATATAAGCCCCGGGGCTTATTTTCGAAATTTTACGGTATATGGCAGTATTCCTTGCCATCTTCTGTACATTAACTAGATATACACTCGTAGTCCATGTCAAAGCGTGCTTGATAAGTGTTTGGTGAGCCACTGTTGGTGAAAAAGAGGCTCTGACATGACTTTTTTTTTAGGTAATGTGGCTTACTGTACACGGTATCCAACGGTGTGGGAAATTTTTTTCCGTGTGCACAATGCAGTGAACTTTTTAAAAACCTTTCGGAGAATTGCAACGAAGCTTTCGCGAAAGCTTTCAAGTCTTAATCCATAAATGAGGAAGTTCATCGCAGAATTGGACAGCGCCAATGTCCTGATCCACATGTGTGCAGAGCCATAACGCTTCAAAGAAAGTTTACCAGTTGCCGTAAAGAAGAAGAAAAACGGGATCCAGCAGGCAGTGAATACCGAAATGACAATTGCCAGTGTGAACGCTACTCGAACCTCAACACGGAAATTGTCTTCGCCAGATTGAGATCGAGCTCGTAATTTGTTTCTCTTCTTCCTGTTTTTAAGCAGTGCGATCACAATGAGGGAGTAGGACATAAAGATGGTGAGATAAAATAAAGTGAACATGCCCAGAGCTAGGAATCCCTTGGGGAAAGACTCTGGAACGAATCGATCTATGAGGAGAACTGAAACTGGCAGCGTCCAAGACATTACCAACATACTCGTTACTGCGTGGTTCCCCATGACATATCTGTGGTGTAGAGGGAATACAACGGCGATAAAGCGATCAACACTAATAGCAGCCATGTGTGCAACGGAGGCAGTGCAAGAGAGTCTTGACAACGCAAGGTAGGGGACTTCAATGCTCAGTGCGCAGTCGTTGAAAAATGTTTTCTTGACAAGAACGGCGACAAAAATTGGCTCGCATACCATGGTGACAATCAAATCAGCGATCGCTAAACTGAACAAAAGGAAATTCGAGCTTCGCCGAAGACGAGGATTTGTTCCAACAGCCACACACACCAGTAAGTTGCCAAGTGAGCCTATAATACACACCAGCAAGTTAGTTGTGAGGAGGCTGATTCCATGAGCAGCTTCAAGAGAGCAGTCTTCCCCTGAGTTGTTAGTGCCTTTTGCGTTGCTTGTGTTTGAGTAATTCAAGTTATTCATCGTGAAAATCAGCAGAAAAAAAGAGACAGTGATGACTTTAGAGAACGGTGCACTACTGTCTATATCCAATTGCCATTGTTATGCCGTCCGAGTTGCGCGGCGAAGCAAGAAACATCAAAAGAGGCAATTACGTTCCACCAAATGTATATCCTTCCAAACTGTTGATGATCGAGCATGACAGCGCGAAATTCAGCCCCAGCATTATCAAAATATTTACAGAAAACCGCAGCTGCTCTAACTGTTACTCGACCGATATCAACTTAGTCACGGAAACCAAATTCCCTTTGTTGAAAATACACCTTTTCACGGTTTTTCCACTTTTTATGTGGACCAGTTAGGGGAAATCCGTCGGCACCAATAGAAAGAGCCCCTTAAAATTAGTAAAATAGTCAAATTTGAAAGTGATACGTCTTTAGCGAGCGAAGATATTGCCCCGCAAAGCTACGAAAATTTACACACGTTTGTATGGTGGGGGGCAGCTGGTGTGAGGTGTTTATTTATTCCTTGTTTTTTTTTTTTTCTTCTTTTTTTTCTTTTTTGTCATTTCGCTTCTTTTGGCCTAACTATGATCAGTACGACTATCTAATATATTTTGTTTTACTGTAGCTCTCTCTGCCACTGATTTTTCCATGTGTAATTATGAGATATTTTGTTCTGATTATTTAACTGAGGGAGCCCATTCCTTACAAGCCCGCGGCCGGTGGCTTCTCTTGGGCTTCCTCGCCATGAGAGTTTAAATAATCAGCTTTTTTTTTCTTGCTTTTGTACAACTTATGGTAAAACAATAACAATTAAACTGAACTGAATTAGCTTTTAACAAATCACTTTTAAACTTGGAATTTTAGTAATTTTAAGGCGCTCTTTTAAGTGGGGTGGACGGATTTTCCCGAACTTGTCAATGTCAAATACTGTTGGAATGAAATTAAATTTCCTATTAATCCACTTAGAATTGTTTTGAATACTTTGAGCAAGGACATACCGTACATATGGCAAAAATGATTCATGCACCTGCTCAAAATGGTTAGAGATTAACATTCCGATAACCGAGCAAAATGGAAGTGAACTGACCGATGCAAATCGGTTACCAAACTACCGGTATTCAATTTTGTGGATTATTTTGATGGGTTTTTTTGTGGTTTCCTTGCAGCTTACGCATCACCTCTTAAGAATTTTTTCCTGTTTCGAGGTAATACTTTAGTTGAAGTAAACCGTCCACTTAACCCAAATAGCACATTTTATAAATTTCGCGATAATACCAGGAAAGAGATGATTGATCAATTTATAGGCGGTGTCTCGCGGTGTGCTGCACTAATTGAAATCATCGGGAAGAATAACAATAAACTAAGGGACGGACCATTAGAAAACTTATGGGGGGGGGCGAAGTACAAAAAAAAAAAATCGCGCAAGGGAAAATTTAATGAAAAAAAAAATTCTTAATAAGTTAATTTCCTAAGAAATATTTTGAGATAAATAAAAAAATTCCTAAAAAATAACGAAAAAAATTCCTGACCTCTCCCCCCCTAGGTCATTTTCTAATGGTCCGTCCCTAAAAGTTCTCTAAATTAGCCAAAATAAAGTTAAAAATCAAGTTATAATAGACAAAAAATCCGTTAGGTTTACGCTAAAATGATGATAAAAACAATAAAAATGTAAAAATGCTAAACATATTTATAAACTAGAGAAAAAAACAATGGAAATAAGGACAATGTTAAGGATTTCATCCCCTGAACTAGCCTCAAAACCATAGTTAATTGTCCATAAACAAATTCGTTTTTACAGCGTAAGATGCGTGGATTGAATCGCACTGTTTGATAAGCGTCGGTTTCAGTTCTTGGATAAAAACATTTCAAAAATCAGTCAGTCAAATTTGTTCTGACACTTTCTTAAGATTTAAAAACTTTAGTTTGAACTCTTCAGGATCCATATCAAAACTGTTCTCTTAGCTTTGTTTCAAATTGCCGATCCTTTTTTTCTTCAATTTTTTTTTTAATATATATTGAACTTACGTCGACTAAAGCCGTTGGGTTTCACAAAGTCTCGCAGGCGTCAAATACCCTTTTTTACTGCTTGCTGCATATAAAATATAATCCATTTTCTTGACGTGACCTTGAACTACTTGTTTAATTAAACGACATTTAAGCTTAAACCCCTAAGGGAAACCAAAACTAAAAGTAGCTCAGTGGCTTTTCCGACCACTAAAAGAGGCCATGCTAAATAAGCGCTAGATTGATTTCACTTTTTTGCGCCAAAGATGTGAACATCGCCGTTCCAAATGCTTTTTCGAATGCTTTTATTCATTCATTTGTTTTTACATAGGTATTCGATTCATTTGCGCACAACTGTAATTTAGATTTTGAGCATCCCCCTAAGTGAATCCTTCAGAAAATCAACTAGTGGTCGTCAAAGGGCTGAAAAACATGATTTTATTCTACTCGTGCTATTTCGGATAAGTGATGACTATTATTTGCTTTTGCGTTTGCTAATATACATGTATTGTTAGAGATATGCTGCTTCATCTTATCTTATATATATATATATACATGAGTCGCCAAGGTGTACTATACAGAGGCCAGTCTGTTATGCATTATAGCAAGCTTGTCGTATAGGAATAGCGAATTTTAAACTTCGGCAAGATGTTACACTTAGACCCAATTGAATTGTGACATTCTGCTCTCCAAAAACTACTTTGAATATTGTATATTCCGGGAAAAGGTACTAGATAGATTTCTAACGGTACGAGATGCGGTCCTTCCTTCCCATTCCTTCTTTCGTCTTTGTTTGTCTCTTACCTTAAATATTTAATTCTAATTCATTTTTCATTTACATATGCAAATTAATTAATAGTACCATTTACTCCTTTAATTGTCCTATGATTTTTAGTCTACTCCATCTGATCTACAGGGCAATGTACGTAGCGACTTGGCGATCCTTCGAAAAATAGCGATGTAGCTATCGCGAAAGTTGGGCATTCTTGATCCATAGATGACAAAGTTCATGGCGGAGTTTGACAGAGCTACGGTTCTAATCCAGTAATGCACGTATCCAAACGGCTTTACCAACCTCTTGCCCGTCACGGTGAACACTATGAACAGTGGAAACCAACAAGGCGTAAAAACAAAGATGACAATTGCGCATGTGAAAGCCACGCGTGCTTCATAACGATAACTGGAAAGGTTCGCAGATGGAGCACTAAGGTGTCTTCTCTTCCTTTTTTGCCTTACCAGACACATGACAATCAGCATGTAAGACACAAAGATTATGACATAGCTGATGGTAAAGATCCCCACAACGATGAAACCCCTGATCGCTTGACGTGCTTTAAGGAACTTAGCAGAAAGATTCAGCGCTATTATTAATATGCAGCTCGCTGCCAGCATTCCCCTTATCATTAGAACCACCTTTCTGCTTTTGTGTCGAAAAGGAAACGCGACGGCAATCAAGCGGTCAATGCTAATAACTGCCATATTCACTACTGAAACTGACGCCGAGAAATTGCAAACATAAAAGTAAGCGATCTCCAGATTCCGTGCGCAGCTATGGGAAAACGTCCTCCTCACGAGAATTGCCAAAAAGAGCGGTTCACACACCATTGTTGCCATCAAATCAGCTATTGCTAAGGTGACCAGAAGGTAGTTAGATGAGCGACGTAGGTTGGGGTTTGTTGCAAAAGCCATGCACACGAGCAAGTTTCCAAGCGTTCCCAACAAACTAACTGCTGTATTCGTGGTGATGAGGGCAGCACCATGAGCGACAGGAAGTTTAGTGCAAACTCTTGTGGAGATTTCAGTGAGTGCAATTGATGTGTTATTCATGTCATTCACCAACGTAATTGCAGATAATACGGATAGGGGTTTACAAGGCTGCGCTTCTTGGTGAAAAGGACTTGAATGCCATGCTAAAACAACCACTGAGTTAGGAATAGTTTAGTCATCGCTGCAGTTACCTGCTGTAGGTGTAAGAACTGATTGGTGTTCAGTTTTGTCATGGTTAGAACAGTGGACCTCCTTTATCTGTGGTTTTGTTAAACTACAAACAAGAGTTTTTAAACACTTCCTACTCGAAACAATATCCAGATACGCATTGTGCAGCATCATTTCCTTGCAAAGTATAAATAAATAAAATTAGAAGGGAAATATGCCGGTCGTGAACAAAAACAGAAAAGAAAAGAAACTTGCACGCAAATTTTTCGCCGGCTATCGTGTCATTGTGACGTTAGCGGGCTGACTTTGCATCTGGTATTAGCTAGGTATCTACTAATTTCAGACATGCGGCAAATCTTATGAGGCGCGAGCGATCAAATGCATGTCTCCTTACTCTGATTATATAATACATTAATTATCATGCAATGAATCAGCGATAACCCTTCAATTCCGTAAGGTTCACTGCGCGGCCGTTGCGTCAATGATTGACGTTGAGAACTCGAGTTTAATCTGCAATTATGCGCAAACCTCACGAATCAACCCGATACTTAAATAGAGCGATACATTCTCCCGCAGTGAAATAAATATAAGGATGCGTTTTTGGGGATGTTTATACCGCGTATTCCGCTAATGAATGTTGTGCACATTTATGAAGATTGTTAATTTCACCAGAAGTTTCTGGTTGTCATGCTGGATGCTACATATTGAATATATTTGAACATCGTACGTTAAACCAGGTATTGAGAATATTGTAGAATAGAATATTGTAGAATTTAGAATATTGTAGCCAGGTATTAAGAATATTGTACGTTAAACCTGGTGTCTAGGAGTTACGTAGGAGTGCAAAAAAAGCCTCGCAAAATTTTCAATAGAGTACACTCAGCCATGATTGGTCAGAGAAAGGTCGTGATATTAGTGCGCCAGTGAAGCACGAATCCTAATTTGATCACCAGAGAACAGTCAAACGCTTTAAGGACACTCGCGTCATACGGACACCTTATTTTTAAGGCAAAATTTGCTTTGTCTCTGGGGAAAGAAAGCTCTTAATTTTTCTCTAAACCCGCCTGATACGGACACCCC